GTTGAGCTATTGTATCCACAGGATAATGAATATACTGAGACTTGGATTTCACCTGGAAAGAATACTGACTGTAAGATTTTATTTACTGTTGATTGATTTTCCTATGCTAAGATGCTATTTTCAATGTTTGAGGATTAATAAAAAAACAGCCTGTGCACCACAAGCTTGTAAAAGGGTTGTATTATCAAGACAAGTGGTACATGTACTCCTCAAAGCATTGAAGATGCCATCTTAGAACAGGACATTCAATTGGGTGGCATGGGTGGCATGGGTGGCATGGGTAGTCTAGTTGTTAAGCTGCTGGCCCCTCACCGCTGTGGTCCGGGTTTGATTCCCGGGCACGGACCATACGTGAGTTTGAGTTTGTTTGATGTATTGTTCTCTCCCTTGCCACGAGGGTTTTTTCTCGGTCCTCCGGTTTTCTTCCCTCAGTAAAAATCAACATGTGAGGAGTGTTGTGTGCTAAAATACTTAATGTGTAGAGGTAGTGAGTGTGAGAGTACAGGGTCCGCAGTAATTGGCTCACGCTGTTGTGGTGTCCCTGACCATACTAGGGGCAAAGCTAAATAAAAAAAAAATTAATTCCCTACAGTTAAAACATATTTATATATTTTATTTATTTTTTACATTTTGCATTTCTATCAATGAGAACTTGAATGGGGAAAATGATCTATCAAAAATCATGGTTATGAAAGTTTACTTAGCACAGCATTTCACCAGACTTGCCTGAAAGCCCATCGTTTCATGATTATAAATATATACAAGAATGTACTCTATTTCTTAACTCTTAAAAGTTTGAAGCCTCACACACAAATGAAATATTGCCTGGTTCTGGCTGGCAAATATTTTAAATTGTGACATTGCAAGTTAGTTTACATGATAAAGCTATTTACCTTTGTGATATATTCAAAGTCAACAACATATTCTGGTAARACCATAGACTCATCAAAGACAAACCAGGCACACTGTCGAGATGTACAGTCACAAGGCTTGACAGGTCTTGTTATTCCTAGTATTGTCTTKGCTTCACAGTCGTCATGTGATCTTGGACGATAAACACTATCAACACCTGGGTATTTACTCTTGGTTACCCTGGCAACATCAAACATTACATTGAAGCAATTASAGCCTCATAAATATGTTAAAATATGCAAGAGTTAATACATTCCAGATCACTGCTGCATACACCTTTTTAAGAAAACATTATCAAATTCATTAATAATTCACAAGGTAAACACAATGGAAAATCATTGCTGTGACCGCATCTTTATATGAACAAGAGATTTGTCCTGATTTGCATACGACTTTAACTTCGATTTTCTCTTACAAATGATATTTTATCCTGAAGTTTTTTTTTCGACATATGCTTTACCTTATGTTGGAATTTGATAAGCAATATAAAATATTCATGTCCGACCTTTATGAGCTATAAAACTGCTCGCTTGCAGCTCACACTTTTAAATGCCCATAAAGGTCGGACGCGAATATTTTATATATTACTTGTTGGGGAGAATGTTGAACASCAATAGTCAGACAGATAGAGTGCGACCAAAAGAGACTATTATATCTTTACTTTCTTTGACATACAAAATTTCACCCTTTGGGGTTGTCTTGAATGAAAATGGACAGAAAATACTAGAGCAAAATAATGTTTACCACAGACAGACTATCTTATCTGGCTCTTTGTGGTACTAACCTCTTCTCTCCTACATTGGCAGCAACGGTTTTACCAACAAATACTTTGGATATGATGAGCTGGCCATGTCTGAATGGACAAGGGTTGGTGCTTCCTCTTTCTTTCCATTTCTTTACACAATGTTGTATTCTTGACTCATCACCAACACCGATACTATTAGACATAGGGACACCTCCATCTTGACCAGCATTCTGAAGACAAAATGGCATATTATAAGCATTATAAATAACTTGGCCAAATCAAGACACTAGAAACTGAATTCCTTGCCAGGGTAAATAGTCTCATTTCACGGTTCCCTGCACCATCTTGAAAGTAGCCGTGCCTTTGCATCAAAGTGAGATGACCGTTGAGCGTGCAATGATGGAAACCTTCTTTCACACCTACAGACAATTATTCACAGGTATCTATCATCACGGGCTCATTGCACGTTGTCACGGCTACCTTTCAAGATGGAGAAGGGAACCGTGAAGGAGACTATTTAGACCTCAAAGGGAGAGGGACATTAAGACCTCTTCATTCTTCAGCCAGTGGAAAATACAAATTATTACCAGGAGCCCATTACTTTAAAAWTTTTTAGTAATCTAATTGATATAGCTATACAAACCTCATATTCATGGTATTTACGGAATCCTTTCTCAAGCACTCTGATTGGTTCATTAACTCCATCCAGGATATTAGGGTTCCATACAAAGAACAGGTATTCAAGAAGCTTTTTGTGAGAACGTCCCCTGAAATAAATGGAGAAAGAACAGCCTAGTATGAACAAATCAAAAAACATTGTGAAAATAATTATAGATTAAAGCAGCTCCTATCTCTGAAAACTTTAAAAATGGAGAATTTATGATATGTATGAATCTCGTAGTGTTTTACTTACTTGGTCACATTAGCTATGTCATCATTATCCAGTTTCTCGTCTAATGCTTCATCAAATCTTGTTCGTAAAATTCTATTYTGTACTCTAGTGATTCTATGTATCTTTATACCAGTAATTCCATGTTTCTAAAAAAGACAACAAACAAGATTAAAACATATGCAACAAATAGTGAGTTTTTTGTCCATAATTTTCACAAATGGGCCTTTCCCTCTTGTGATTGATCACAACGCATGTGAATTGTTTTGATAAAAGTCTGAGATGCATYATTTATTAGTAAATGAATGGAATGAGACTTTTCAAGGATTTCAACTGGTGAACTCTGGTGTCCATTTTGACCTTTGGGTCAACTACTTTTGCCAAATTACAATTGTAGGGCTTKTGCCGCATTGATTCACATATGAACAGCCACCTACTTCCACAGGCTGCCCAACTATTGCTTGAAAGAGAAAAGAATGACCTGCGCACGCTTTTATTTATCGACGCACGCTCTTAGAGAAATGCGTGTTGTCACAGACTTGTTGGTATCACGCAAGGTACTGGATAGTGATATAATACCACCAGGTAATCCAAAAACTATGCACTCATTCTTTTCTTCTCCCAATCAATAAAATTATATTAATTATATTTAATAATTCTATCAATGAAAGCTGGTCCTTAGAATGAACCCCAATGATAATTTATGATAATTTATGATAATTTATGATAATTTATGATAATCTTACTTACCATGTAGTCTCCAGCACAGAAGCGAGATGTGACAAGGTCATGACAAGACTTATACCTAAAACACACCATACTGAATGTCATTAAAGCCCTGTCTACACGAGCAATTTTTATGCGACCACTTTTAATTGCCCGTGTAGATGAGCAAAATTGACCAATTTTTATGTGACAACTGTAGTTGCTGGAAAACTGGCATACTAGTTTTTATGTGACAACTAAAAATTGTCACATATCGAAAATTGCCCGTGTAAACGAGTGCCACATAAAATGTGGCAATTATTTTGACGTTACACTAAATCCCAGTCTCAACATTTTGCACACCAACCAAGATGGCCACGCCGATAGTAAGCAGAACGACRGGATCYYCAGAGAGAATGGTATTATATTGTTGTTGTAAGAGCTAAAATCAACCAACTTTGCTTTGTTTACTGACATCTCCGCTGTGCAAAATCACACTTGGCACATATAGTTGTCACATAAAAATTGCTCTTGTAGACCAGGCTTAAAACTCTCATTTATCCTTCTCAAATGCTTTATAATCAATGRTAACTATAAAACCATTTGATTTGATTATTTTCGTTCAAGTCAAAATACAATGCTAATCCATTGTTACCAAAGATCTGTTGGCTTGCCATCTTCAAATCGGACATTTCCTCCAGTCTCAAGTTCTACAATAAGTCTTTGTATTGTCATATCAGACACAAGCTGGACCTGTTCACAGCTCTCCTCGTAACATGCTTCAATCCTAAAGAACAACAATACATTGAGGTGATTAAATGATAAGAAATGATGATGCCGGCTTTCACAAGAGTAATTAGAGAGTTTTAAATATTAAGTGTTTATGCGAACGCCAAATGTTATAAACTGATCAAGTGATCACAGTTTTTCTGTATTTTTTCTGTATTTTTTTTATTTTTATTTTTAGCTTTAAAAAGCTCCGTTTTTTTTTGCAATTGTGCATAAAATATATCACTTTTTCTTGCATAAGCGCATCACTATTCCGTTTGAAGCGTTTTTACATTTGTTTGAAATTTTGAGACAAAGCTTAAAAGCCAATTTGGCGTCTGGTGTTTGCAATAAGCTMGAATCAAAAACTTTTTATTCAGTGCTGGTGGTAGGCACGTCTTGTATGCCATGTTCTATATGACTGTATAACTTTCGCTTTAGCAAGACCAAGTGWGAACAATAGGAAAGAAAGGGAATGAAAGAGAGTAATATGGAGTAAAGGAAAAAAAGGATGAGGATGAGGAGGAAGGGAAGAAGAACAGAAAATATTAAAAATGGGATGAAATAAAGAATGGAATGAAAAGAGAAAGAAATTTTAATTTTAATTAAATTTTAATTTTTTTTTTTAAATAGCTGTATGAGATGCTGTATGAGATGATGAATACATATTAGGATTACCACAAATAAATCAATCAATATTGTAATAGACGACCCTGATGGGTTTTACTTACTCTCTGTTTTGCTTGTCCCACTTTTCAATTCGTCCCAAAAGTGCTTTCTTCTTGTTTTCACACTGTCTCGTATTCTCATTTAACAAAGACTCTTTTGTCTCCTCCTTTTGTTCATCTTTTATCTCATCTTTCTCTTCTTTATCTTGTTTGTCCAGCACAGCTGGAGTTGTTTTAATGTCCTCTTGTTCTCGTTCAATCTGTTGGCACACAAGACAACATTAGAATAACAACTGTAGCATTTCTATGTGTCACTAGGTATTTCATCAACGTATTTCATCTTTTATTCAGCAGAGATCCTATTGTAATGCAAAAAAACTCTAAGTACAAAGACAATACAAATTTATGCTTGAATGTAAGCTTGAAAAAAGAGAATTAGAAATTGGAGTAATAGAAAATGTTTGTGTTTTTGTTTTGTTTCTAAAAATGTTGAACAATGGCTTAAAACAATAGATGAGAAAATGGACAGAGAAGAAATGAATGGATGAATAAAAGGATATTTGGATGTGTGAATGAACTTAAGCAAACAAATGAAAAAATAGATCAAACTAAAGGAGGAATAAAATGATAATATAATGTTTGAATAGCTCTTAGAATTAACAAATGTATTATATTATATTAACTTTTAGAGGGATAAATTTGCAAAAAGATGAATGAATGAATGTATTATATTAAGCAAAATGTGAAAAAATCTTCTTTGGACAGCAGAATACAATTTTTGCCCCACCGTAAGTCGTTTCCCATAAGTATCTCTACTGTCTGTACCTCTTTAAAGTTTGAATACAATTTATATATCCTTGAATTGGCAAATGACTGAAGTTCATCTCTTTCTTGTGCAAGTCGTGATTGCAAGTCTGCTGTGTTTCTCTGTAATGTTTTTACTCTCATGTTATAGTACATCTTCTTCTTTAGCACGGTCACCTGTTGACAATGCACAAAGAAATCACAGTACATCAACCAATGCTACAATTAATAGTATTAAAGTAAGGTATTACTYCTAACCTCTGCAAGTTCTTTAAGGTGTTTATTGTCAACATCATATGTATCCAGTCGCTTTAAGTCAGGAAGGTGAAACAGAAGATARGTGGCATAGTTGCAAAGCTGAGCCAATGGATTTGGACCATAAACTGGGTTCTTCAAACTCAGAGAATGGAGATTTTGTAGGCAAGAWAGTCGAGTAAGATCCTGTCAAGTTAAATTCATCATAAGGATGGATATCTTCAATTGTTAAAACTGAGGCAGAAGGTAGAATGGAATAACTTTGATCATTTTCATTAAATTTACAATTATCAACAAGCTATCTGTTTTGTTTTGTGCTGTCTGAATGATATAAGATAACTGGCACACAGACACTTTCAAAGTGATTTTCAGTGGAATTAACTTTTGGAGGTGCTAAATCTGACTGTTTCATTCCTTGGGACTTCTACAATCCCTGCCAAGTAGACCTACATMTAACAAAACAAACCAACCTTGAAAGATGTTAGCTGATTGGCTGAGAGATCAAGAACTTCAAGATTGACATTATTATCTAAAGAGTTTCCTAGAAAARAAAACATTTGAGATTAATTTTAGTTGGTAAAAAAGCAGAGAATGAATAGACTTACCAAGGTATGATATGCAG